TGTCGCTCAAGTTTCGTCGGAACGAAATTTACGGAAAATTAACTAACGACCAGAGACGTAACAGTATGCACCCAGACTCTCATAGATTGGTCTCCCTTTGGCAGCACGGGAGCTGCATTTAGTATCTCTTTATACTTTCAATCTCTTATTATATAGCCCCCAGTAGCACAACGGTATGTCGGCGGACTTATAACGCTAGAATCCGGGTTTTGATACCCGTGGTGGGTAGAATACAGATAGCCCATAGTGTAGCTTTGTGCTTAACTTCAGAAAACAAACAAACAAACTTATTATAAAATCTACATATCTAACCAAGCACCCCCAATTTGCAACTCCTTTCTTCACCACTGCCAGTCATCGCCAACTGTATGACATAATAGTGGGGCTTGACCATTACCTTTATAAATAACTCACGGCCTCAAAGTGTGGATCGTATTTTTTTGTTGTTGTTATTATTATTTTTTCGCTAACGGAACGCATACGATGGTTCTGTTGATTCGTAGTCCAAGCTAGCCACTGTGTTACGCTTGGTACTTCATTCAGTAAAAACGCATACTTAAATGAGGTCATTGAAATGTTTTTCGCAGGATATTCACAAACAATAATTTTTCTGTATTTGTTGAATAAGTAAAGTGATTACATGTATCAGAAAACACTATTTTTTCATATCAGAGAATAACAGAATTTATCAGGGCACTAAAACAAGTTACAGAATTATCTCTTATTCAGTGTATTATCTATACAATTAGCAACTACGTGCTATTTTCAATGTGGGGCCTCCAGTGGCTCAGCGGTAAGTCTAAGGACTTATAACATTAAAAATCGTGGTTCAAAACCTGCGGTGGACACAGAGCAAGCAACCCATTGTGTGATTAAATCAAATAAAACTTTTACATTGAATCACGAAATTTGTTGGGAAATTTTATGTCAGCTAAGGTCCATAAAAAAAAATTATGGTTACACGGTAGAGGAATTTTTAGCATGAGCCAAATCACAGGTTGTCCTATCTCAAATTATGGAGTCCTGTCGCATGACATTTACCAGTACGCAGTGGGGAAGTGCAGTCTTTAACTTCTAAGGGAGGCAATCGTTTGGCAGAAACCTAATGCTGTCTTTTTTATGTTTTTAGTTATTTAGCATTTAATTTATTTCTACTTTATTTAATTATCTATTATTGTGTATAATTTCTTTTTACACCAAGTTAAAAATAATATTAATCTTTCAAACTACAGTCAATACGAACAATAGTTATAAAGGCTTGACCGAGTAAGCCAGATATTTATCTTTTTTTAATTGAACTTATAATTAGAGGGAAAACTCTAATATTTTATTTCGTTGTGGAATTTTGTATTTGAATGCACTTATTTTATAAAATGTAAAGGCAGTGCTGTGCATTTAAATTAATTAAAACAGTTAAATGACCTGCCTAACCTACTCATATATGAGGTCAGGTATGTAGAGTTCTGAAAAAATCTGATGGCCGTGCGGGGCGAGTTTAAACCTAAGTGGGTTAATTAAATCTATTCCACGACACGTGATACCCACCAAACACCTTTAGTACAAAAGACACTTTGAGCCGAATGGTCTGATCAAAAATGACAAACCGACTGACTCGTCTATTAAGAAACATCAGATCTAGCGACGCTTTCTGAGCCGAATGGTCTGATCAAAAATGACAAACCGACTGACTCGTCTATTAAGAAACATCAGATCTAGCGACGCTTTCAAAACCTGGGTGTGAGAGGCAAGCGTTAAAACTGAACAGGGTGACGGTACCGTACTCTACGTGTCTATAAACAAATTAAGAACTTCATACACACAAAACATTAACACATAAGAACTGCTGTCTGAGATGGGCTCTGAAAGATGATAGATCCATTCCTCAAATATCTTTCCCTTTGCAACGCATAGTACTATCTCTCCCTCCCACCCATTACGCACGTGGTGACGTCGTCCATACTTATCTACTCCTGATTTCATTTTTGCATAGTCTAATGAAGTTTAAAGTTTCCCATTCACACACAAGTTACTTTGTTAACTATATAATGCATTTCTTTGTTGTTGGTTTTTATTGTTAAGTGCAAAACAACAACACTGCGGGTATGGAACCCTGATTTCTAGCGATATAAGCCCCCAGACTTACCACTGAGCCACTTGAGGACGGGGAACAGTTAAGACAGTGAAGTTAGGTATTAGGGCTAATACTGTTGTTTTGTCTTCTCCGACATTAATGTCTTAAAAGTTAACGAATAGGACCAATGGAATTTAAATTTTAACTTATTTTACAATGGAAACAAAACATTCAAGATAAATGGTCATTGAATAGTCGAACTCTGTTTACTTTTATCTAAATGCTTTTCTGTATTTGTTGCTGTGCACGTAAAATTCGCATCAGTTATCAATACCCAACAATATGAAGCGATAAATGTGTATATACATTTAAAACATGTAAATTACTTACGATCCTACGCTATTTCTTCAAACTCTCGTTTTTTTCATATAGCTTATCGGCCAGGAGATCATACCTGTATCTAAACCAGGGATGGTCAACTTCTTTATGCTCGTGGGCCAGTTTCTTATCCAGACTGTAGTCTGGAAAACGGAATTATATTACCGGGTAAAGTACGTTCAGTTTGTGTTTTCTTATAGCAAAGCCATATCGGGCTATCTGCTGTGTCCACCGAGGAGAAATCGAATCCCCGATTTTAGCATGGTAAATCCGAAAATTTACCGCTGTCCCACCGGGGCACAGTATCTTCAGGACATTTGCTTAATTTAAATTTCTACTGTCTACTATAGATCCTCAGTTAAATATATGGTTTTGATCTATAGCTGGGTTAAAACATTTGAAACACACAAGTTCTCTGAACCGTCACGGGACTGTTATGGTTCATCACACGGTTTCATTTTCTGTTTTCGTTCTGCCATTTTGGCAAAAAATAAAATATGATTTAAAAAATACATGGGCCAGATAAAATACCTTCGCAGGCCGCCAGTTAGCCATCTAGGATCTAAAGAACGTCACCAAATATTACAGTTTTAATGACTTATAAAAAAAAAGTCGTGAAAAAAATTATTTTCAAAAGGGTTATTCCTCCCTCCTCAGTGGCAAAGCGGTATGTCTGCGGATTGACAATGCTAAAAACCGGGTTCCGATACCCGTGATGGGAAGAACACAGATAGCTCATAGTGTACACACACAAAAGAAAGTACTCTTATTTCTTGTCGATTCAAAAAATAAAGCAACAACTCCACGAAATCGAAATAATATTTACACGTTGTAAACAACCTTAAAAAATAAAAACACCATACTTTCCTTTATTCCTGGAAACTTTTATTCAAACTACAAACCATTCTTAGCATTTCATTACAATATATATATTAAGGAATAAACTGTTAAAATAGCATGGTCCAGTAATAACCACAACTTTTGATTATAATAACAAGTAATACAAAAATTGGGCTATTCCCAAAGCAGGCCTTACTATCATTATTTTTACTATGGAGTTTGTTTCCATACAGAAGATAAAAGATGACAACTTAAAATTGAAATATTACCAAAACAGTTTTTACTTTTAACACAACAGACATAAAACTGTTAGCTTAACTGAAAAAATTTGATAATACGAAATTACAATGCACCAGTAAGCTAAAATAATGGTGATAAAGAAAAGCCTTTGATAATTTGAGATTACTCGGGTAAAAGCTAAAACACAATTCTTAATGTCTGGTACATCGCAAAGTGAATTTTATTTATTCAGTGAACAGATACAGAACAAATTAATCACTCCTGTACCAGATTTTCTAGCTTAAGTGCTCGAAGTTCTTTCATCATGGCTGTCACTTCTTGTTCGGAAGCTGGTTGAAGTGGAGGTCGCGGATTTCCAAAATCTAATGGTCCAATGTTGTTCATAACTGCTTTAATCATACTGATCAGGGGTCCTAATTTTAATACAAGGTATTTAATAAACTTTTCATTTTCAACAATGTAAAAAATCTGTTATTTTTCATAGTCAAAAGAAATTATGTTTTTAAATGAGGGACACTACTTGCAGTGGTGGGATTCAAATATTTTAACAACAGGTTCTCTCACTAACAGCATGTAAAAATATTAGATATTAAAAAAAAGGAGGGGCCAGAAAGCCCCCCCCCCCCCCATCACTGAGAAAATAAAAATAGGCCGTCACGGATAGTGTTAAAGATTCTTTAGAAACTTCCAATTAAAAAAGTGTTTTATAATCTTTCTACTTTACAAAATTCAAATCTTTATTAATTTCTTCCATACGTAATACGTTAAAAAATATATTTGAAAAAAAGTAAAGTAGAAAAAAACAAAAAATATATAAAATGGACAGTAACAGGTGAAAAACAAAGAAATGAATTATTAGAGGAAGGGGTCCTGTTATATTTGGAGCGAAAACACAAAAATTTATATTTCTTAAAAATTTAAAAATGTATTAAACTAATGCATAGATGATAGATCTATCATCTAACAAATTTTATAAATTATAGT